CCCCTTTTCAGCCCCTTAGGGGTGATTGCCAGGATTTGCCGTAGGCGTTTCGTTTTCTAGGAGTGAACCTTAAGATACCCTGAAAATTTGAACTCTCTAGCACATCTCCTTCTAGTGGAACAGACAGACAGACAGACAGACACGAGGTCGTTTGCATAAGCCCGCTGGATAGCTTTTTCAAAGCAGAAGGGCGGGCTAAAAAACTCTGTTTTTTACCAGACTTTCCCAGTTTCACCCAAGCCTTACCTTAATCCTTAATTCAACTACCAGATATGAAAAATACTGAGTGCGAGTGGCTTTGCCCTTGCACTTGAGACAGGTCACTGCACAGACAGGAGAATGCGAAGGATACATTATCGTGAAGGGTTATGTGTACAGCATGTAGAGCTGCTAACCTTCCTGAAGAAGGTGTCCTCCAAAGATCTGATGAATGGGAGTAGTAAAGGAGTTTTTTTGAATTCCTTCTAAAATGGATAAAAAAGTGCATCAATGAACACACAGCAGCTATTTTTGAAAATAATTTAGGTTTCAACAGAAATTAGTTCCCTCATGTGTAATTCGACACATACATGGAACTCTTAAACCTCTTGCAAAACTCGTCTTCTAATTGTCCCAACAATGGCGCATGAATTCTTGAGAATCTTCTTGGCGACCTCGCTTCAGATGCTGGTTCATCACTAAAGGGACAAATTCAAACAGTAATTATTTATCAAACATTTTGATAAAATTAGGAATACTATAACAGATAATTTGATATACAAAACTACTTAATACAAAGAAGACTTTCTGCAAGAAGGCTTTATAGTTTGAGTAAGGCAAAATGTATTATGGGGGACGTTCTTACTGGGGCGCTGTTTGTATATCCGAGCTGGTACAACCACTGGAGGAACATGAGATTTGACAATGACTTCTGCTTAAGAGCACGTCGAGCAGTGGTTGTTCGCCTTTTATTTGCTATAATAACAAGTTTTTTTTACAGCTTTAATTCATGTTTGCTTTTGAAGGTGACTTTATACAATGCTAGTTTGACTCTATACAATGCTAGTTTGTAGCCAACAATTCAATATGTTTTTGCTTAGTATTATTTATTTATTAACATAGTTCATCATAATAATCAAATATTTTTTCAGCTCAGTGGAGAGGCGGCTTTGCTGGTCCAGGAGGTACGGGGGACACGATGTCATGAAGAATTTGATTTTCTTCAGTGAAGTTGCGTACTGGGCCAGGACTTTGTTTCTCAGCTGGAGTAGAGTGGGCACTTGAGAGATTTCGTAGAGGGATTTAATGGGTGTCCATTTTGGTAAACCATACATGATTCTAATCCAGGATTTGCCGCGTTTCGCTCTCTAGGAGTAGACCTTAAGATTCCCTGAAAATTTCAAGTCTCTAGCACATCTCCTTCTAGTGGAACAGACAGACACACACACACACACGAGGTCGTTTGCATACGCTCGCTGGATAGCTTTTTCAAAGCAGAAGGGCGGGCTAAAAAGTACAAATGCAAGTCCAGGAACCAGAAGGGGAACTAACTACAAAATAAAAATAAAACGAGTAAAAGGGTCTTTCTAAGAAGGTACTACAGCATACTCTCTCCATCCTCATGGAACATGGGCCGCATAGGACTAAAATCATTTGGCAAAAGGCATTGAACAGAATAAAATGGGTGCTTCTAAAATGGGTACGAATAAAAATGTACATAAGCAAGTACAGAAATAACCAGGGGGAACTAACAGCAAAATGTAAATAGGATTACACATCCCTTTACAGATGAAGCCATGAGAAGTCACATACACATAGCAAACAGAAGAGTGGTTTTCAATTGGGTATTCCAGGCTATCCCAAACGGAAGTAGGAAAAGAACAAACTCACTGACTTCTCTGTTTCCGTGGTGACTCTGGTTGAGCTGATCACGTGCCACGACGGCGTTTCAGGTATGAAAAACTGTCAGGTCAGTTTCGAGCTCGCCGCCATATTTGAGAGGTTAGAATCAGATCAAACTACCATGGTAATTTCTCAGACTGAGCTAGCGGAAACAGGTCAATCGGTGAGTTTGTTCTTTTTCACTTCCGTTCTAGACAGCCGGCAACACCCTATTTAACCTACCTATTGCATTCTCTAGGTGAGCATTAATCGTACAGCCCTGTTTAGAAAATTGCTTACACTAATGTTTCTTTCATAAAATATTTCTTGCTCAAGATCTTCTGACAAAGCAAGAAGATTTTCATCGGTCCATACAGACCGGCATGCTCGAGGTCTTCTTGGGTTTTGTCCCACAGCCAGCGCCATAGTGTCAAGTTGCGCATTATGTTCGAGTTTGGCAAGCGCATCAATGAACGCCCAAACATTGGGCCTGTATGCTCCCACTTCTGTGCGAAGCATTTTGTTATGCGACTCACATAGGTTTTTAGCCCGCTCTTCTGCTTAAAAGCTATATAAAGCCCGAATCACACTAGCGGTTCTCGAGGCGGTTGGCGTGTGCGGGTGCGGGTGCGGTTGCCGTCTCGACCAATGAGAGCGCAGCGCCCGGCGGGTGCGGGTGCGGTTGAGGGAATAGCCGTCCGGCTATTTTTCGGACCCGCAACCGCACCCGCGGCCAATCAGAGCAGCCGGTTCTGTCACGTGACCAGCAGAAGACACAACATATGAGTCACAGGAGCGGGAACGCGGGCAACTCGCTAGCAAACTTTTGAAGATTATTAAGAGTTTACCGAAATGCCACCAAAGAAGGACAGATCACTGTTCACCACTGAGAATGAGTTTTTATTCGCGGAATTAGTGGAGCAGAGGCCCATATTGTGGGACACTTCGTCCGAAGTCTACAAGAGGGCCGATATGAAAGGGGCAGTGTGGCAAGATATATCGGAAATAATGGGACCCGGCTTCACAGGTGAGTTGATCGCCCTTTATTTACGTAAAATTAGTGGAATTACGCATGCTGGACGTCACTCGCAGTCTGTCGTCACTTATTTTGTGTGAAATCGCTTTTCAAAGGACCTGCTTTGCAGGTTAGGTTTCTCTTGGGGCTTGGGGAATACCTGTGGGGAATAGCTACTCATTCCTGTTGAAATAAATATTTGTCTTTGCTTTGCAGTCGAAGTACTCATGCACCGATGGAAAAGCATGAGGGAAACTTTTCAAGATAATTTGAACCGTGTCAAAGAATCAGATAGGAGGAGTAGCGGCAATGGAACAGATGATTGTTATGTGCCGAAGTGGAAGCTCTGGACCAAGCTTCAGTTTTTGAAAAAAACCTGTGCTCAATCAGAGTCTGTCTCCAACCTTCCACAAAGTTCATCTGTGCCCCAACTTCAGCAGGAAATTGCAAGCCTTATCGAGTTCCCTGCTGTTTATTATGATGATCAAACAAAGGTGAGATTTAAATAAATAATCAGTAATTATGCTTGTATGTTAATTTTTTAAGATTATCATTTACATTTACTGTTACATTTAATTTTATTTTCAGCGATATGTACAAATTCCTTCAGAGTCCAGCAGTATGTCTCCACTGTTGGTATCAGAAGTTGATTTGTCTGGAGAAAAATGTGATCAGTCTGAGGTATTGTCCCGTCCACCATCTCGACCAGCACCAGTCAATTCCCCAATGGCAACACCATCAAGCTCCTCGCAAGAAATGTTTGTAAAGAGAGGTGCAACAAAACGTAAGTCAACTGCAGCAATTGACGAAGCCCTCAAAGTAGTGAAGGAAATGGCCATGGCACCTGTTCCAGTACCAGCTCCAGTTGTTTTAGACAGTGTTGACCATCTAATGGCGTATCTTGCTACTCGACTCAGAGCAATGGAAGCAGAAAGAAGGCAGGAATGTGAGAACCAGTTGCTCACAACAGTCCTCAATTTTCCTTCTAAAGTATAGGTGCACTACATTCAATATTTTAGTATGTGTTCCTTTACATTGCCATTTATTTTTACTAACCCAAGTATTATTATTTTTATTACAAGACACGTCAGTAGTCTTTATTATTTACTCGAATTAGGACTTGCCATTTCAAACTAGTGGTGTTTGAATGTAGAAATCCCGTCCAAAGATCTGACACCAAACTTTGCCAGTATAGTATTATTGACTGATAAAAATACGGGTAATATTTTTTATTATTACATAGGCATGATTCCTTTATCAATATTATGATATTCTATA